ACTATTCCACAGGTAAGACTACGGGTAGAAGAAGACGGTGACTTTTAATGTGCAAAAATTAAACTGAACCAAAGCATGTGAAGAAAAAATAGTGGCATACTGCCAACATTTGGCTTTGGGCCGTTTGAAAATGTGTAATCAAATTTAAACATTACTCAGTGCTGACAGAGCAAGCTATTTATGCAACCAGTAGGTTGCCAGGAACAATTCTCGCTGTGAAATCTCATTAGAGGCAGGATTGTTGCAGGAGTTTGCTGTGTACATGAACTGCTAGCAAGACTTTTATTTCCTGTTACTCCAAAACAACAAACTCCTCTGTCCAACTCTGACTCACGTTTACAGCGTTGTCTTCCTGGAACTCACCTCCCATGAGATTTCAGAGCGAGAATTCTGTTTCTGGTTAAAAACAAGTGGTGTTACTCTGTTACCCGTAGGGATCCTTTCCATGATGATGTTAGACACCTGGTATAAAATGTTGCTGGCTTTTGCAATTGCCCACAATGAATATGTTGCAGGCCACTGCAGCCAGTTCTCGTAGCTGCCAGTGAAGCCATCTAGTGCACGGATTCCAACAGTTTTTGTACAAAATATGTGAAAATAGGCCCAGTTTGAAAACACAAAACAAACTACCCTTTAAAATGTTTCCTTTATATGTTGATTAAAAAACTTTATTTGCTGTTATTACACTTTTCTCAAAACGTATCTGTTGTTGCTCAGAATCAGAAATACTTTATTGATCCTCGACGGGAAATTCTGTGTCACAGTTGCACACATTGCACTAAAGGCAAAAGGAATATAAATAAACATAGAAAGTTGGTTTATAAAGAGAAAAAGAAAAAGAAAATATAAAGGAGTGTGGATATGTGCAATATTTAAATAGTTAAAGGAATTGTTATGGTGAACAGTAATAATGAATAAATATTAGCAGCAGAATTGCAGCAGAGAGTATTGCACATTAAGTATTTAAACTGGTATTATTGCACAAAACATATAATAATGTCCAGTTTAAAACTAACGAAATTTTAGAGGGAGGAGTTATAAAGTGTGGCGCTCTGTGGTGCATTTTGGGGGAATAAGTCTTGCACTGAAGGTGCTCCTGTGTTTGATTAGTACATCATGGAGTGGGTGGGAGACATTGTCCAAGATGACATGTAGCTTGGACATCATCCTCCTCTCTGACACCACTGACAGAGAGTCCAGCTCCACCCCCACAACATCACTGGCCTTGCGGATCAGTTTGTTGAGTTTGTTAGCATCCGCTACCCTCAGCCTGCTGCCCCAGCATGCAACAGCAAACAGGATAGCATTGGCCACCACAAACTCATAAAACATCCTCAGCATCGTCCTGTAGATGTTGAAGGACCTCAGCCTCCTCAGAAAATAGAGACGGCTTTGGCCCTTCCTGTAGAGGGCTTGAGTGTTCTTGGCACAGTCCAGTTTATTGTCAATGTGCACTCCCAGGTATTTGTAATCCTCCACAATGTCCACACTGACCCTCTGGATGGAAACAGGGGTCACTGGTGCCTTGGCTCTCCTTCGTTGGCTCATTAGTGCATCAAAGAGCAGTAGACTAATAACAGTATTTTGGCTGAATAAATATAGAAGTAATTTAAGTCAATTTACTCAAATAATCCTGTCTAAATACTGCATCAGCTCCGGGTCATGCATTGGTATTAGAATAGCTGGATATTTTAATATCCCAATAAGGACAACTATCAGTCAATGGACATAAAGTTGTTACTGTGATGTAGAGACAGAGCTCAGTTATAACTTTATGGATGAAAGATACTTTTGTTACAGATTAATAGCTCACCACTCCGTCCAAACCGTTGCTCCAGTCCACGTTGCTAAGCTGCTAAGGGGAACATACGCAGCTGAACCGAAGCTGTGTTTACCGGCTCTCACTGTCCTTAACTAGAAACTGCGCATGTGCAACTGCCAACAAAGATCATTTAGAGACGAGATGTATCACTTCATAGCTTAAACGAAGTGTTCAACACAGGGTGAAAAGAAGAGCTGCAGCAGTGTGCACAACAAAATATGTATGACACAAATATGGTGTTTTGTGAAAATTAAACCATGTAAACATGTTCTGGTACAACCTCTAAATAAGATTATGAACCTGAAAATGAGCATAATACCACCTCTTTAAGTAACAGCAACGCACGTGCTGTGTATTTTTATGCCCTGGCGAGTAAGTGCTGCTTACATTTAAGTTATTATTAAGTGACTTTGGCTTTATTATCCTATTGGCAGCATGTTGGCAAACTGTTAAGCTGGTTGGTGCCACAGTTATGATGGTTCCAATAGTATGAGGTAGAAGTATCTAGAAGAAAAAGAATATGTCATAATTTGAACATCTTTTATCCTGTTTTTCTCTGTTTCTGAAGGCTATCAGGCTGCTCTGCAGCTGGGTCAGGACCCCTCTAATGACTGCCCAGACCGCCAGCGCACAATCCGCACAGTGATCCAGAAGAAGGCCACTAATCAGCCAACGCTGGGTGTGGAATACAGAGGACGCAGAATTACCATTCAAAACAGTAAGTTTGATCTCATTACAGTGACAGTGTTGATATTTTGCACTGAGACTGCCCTGCTTAAAGTCACCAATGACATTTTAATTTCTGCTGATGATAGCATGTGCTCAGTCCTGGTACTCCTGGACCTTAGCGCTGCATTTGACACCATTGCCCATAACATCATGTTAGACAGACTGAGGCACTGGGTGGGGATCTCTGGTACTGCCCTAGAATGGTTTTCATCCTACCTGTCAAATCGGAAGTTCTGTCTGTCTGTAAACAACTATGTGTCTTCATTCTCTCCAGTTAAATATGGTGTGCCTCAGGGTTCGGTCTTAGGACCCATTTGGTTTTCCTTGTATCTGCTTCCCCTTGGACATATGACACACAAATGTACTTGCCCGTCAGATCCACAGACCCTGGAATGCTGAGTTCACTTAACAACTGCCTTTGTGAAGTTAAAAAATGGATATCAAATAATTTCCTCCAGCTGAACTCGGACAAAACAGAAATCCTGGTCATCTGGCTTAATGTGATTTGCTAGGGAACCAGCAGATGGCAGTATTTGTTTTGCCATCTGCTGGTTCCCTAGTAAATCACATTAAGCCTGTTGCAAAGAACCTTGGTGTTTGGTTTGATAGTAATTTAAATTTCGAGCAGCACACCACAAAGCTTGTTCAATCATGTTTTTATCAACTTAGAAATATAGCAAAAATACGATCAATGTTAACTTTTAAGGACACCGAGACCATTTTACACGCCTTTATTTCATCACGCCTGGATTACTGCAACAGCGTTTTCACTTGTTTAACCCAAAAATCTACTGATCGACTCCAGACTGTCCAGAACTCAGCTGCCAGGCTTTTAACCAGAACAAAGTAATATGACCACATCAGCCCTGTTTTAGCTTCATTACTGGCACCAGTATGTTTTAGAATTGACTTTAAAATTTTATTGACCACTTTTAAAGCTCTTCATGGCCTCTTGCCTTGTTATATTTCTGACCTTTTAGTCCCATACGCACCAGTATGTACCTTGAGATCCTCGGGCAGAGGTCTGTTGTCTGTTCCAGAGTCTCGACTGAAAACTAAAGGGGACAGAGCGTTTGCTGTCAGGGCCCAGAGGCTCTGGAACAGCCTGCCCGAGGAAATCAGGTCGGCTGAGTCAGTGAACTCTTTTAAGTCCCTTCTTAAAACATACTTTTATAGGAGAGCCTTTACCGATCTTATTTGGAAAAATATATGTTCTTATATCAGTTCTTTAAGATAGAGTTCTTATTTTGGTTTGTGAGCAGACTGAATGCTAACAAAAAAGTATTTGAAAGAGATAGAGAGATAAGATATTCAAATACCTACAACGTTTGTGGCTTCTTGATCATCTTTTTTATTAGAATCTTTATTTTCGAAATACGGCAGTGATCCAGTGTTCTTGTCTTATTTTTTTAAGTAGTGCAAATGTGACGTTTTCTGTCAACAGATGCTGACCTGGTCATCAATGAGGTGATGTGGTGGGATAACGGCGTATATTTCTGCACCATTGATGCTGCTGGTGACACGGCAGGGGACTCTGATCAGGAAGTCAAACTCATCGTGTACAGTAAGTTTGAGGTTATGATACTCAAGGTGATATAGAGCCTAAAACGACTTTCTGAGGAAAAGGTGTTGAGGAAAAAAAAGAGATTGAAACATCTGTATTGATGTGTCTTCTTACCCGTTCCAGACTGGCTGACCGTCCTGTTAATCATCATCGGTGCTCTCCTGCTCATCATGCTCTTCTGCATATGTTGCTGTCAGTGCTGCCCACAGAAGTGCTGCTGCTACGTCCGCTGCCCGTGTTGTCCACAGACATGCTGCTGCCCGGAGAAAGGTGGAAGACATGCTTTTTGTTTGTTTGTTTTTCTACCTACACACAGACCTTTGACCCCCGTCTTTGCTTTGCTGTGATTTCAGCTGTGATGCAGCACAGGATGCTGCGAGATGCTGAGAAGGCCATGTCTTCTTGGATGAATGGTCAGCCTTTGTACGCTCCCATTAGCTCCAATGCCTCCTCCCAGGGAGTCCCCATACTGTATTCAGGTGAGTGACACAAAGCTACAATCAGACTTCTCATTGATACTTTGTTTTTTTGTGTTTTCAAGTTTTAAGGTTTTTGCTGGACAAACTTTTAGTTGAGAAAATCATAAGACAGTTTCACAGCAGGATTAGTAGAATAGTAGAATAGGCAAACTTTAACTCACTGGGGCCTCAATGAGTAATTGAAAACACACCACCTAGGGATTTAAACCCTGAGCCTTCGGATCCCAAGCGTTGGTGACTTACTGGGCCGTAGGACACCTGCTAACAAATTGAGGCAATAACTTCATATGTGCCAGACTCAGATATTATTGTTAGTTTAAACTTAAAATGCTTAAAACAGTCAAGATCTTGTTGATAAAATTCTGAAAAAATGTTTGGGGTATATTGTCAAATAATTTGGTGACATTTGACCCAACACAAAGCAAAAAAAGAAAATGTTTTTCTTTCTCTACAAATTATAGCAAGATATATATATATATATATATCTCTATCTCTATCTATCTCTATCTATCTCTCTCTCTCTATATATATCTATATACACATACATATATACATATATACACATACTATAAAAGTGAGGGAGATAAAAATCTAATTTTGAAAAGTCCCCGTAAAAATGATGCCCATATATCATCTAAAGAGCTAGTGGAGAGCAAAGCAGAGCTTAAAGAGAGTGAATATTTGACAAACACAACTTACAATTAATGTTGATGTTGCTTTGTATCAGCTGAATTTATAAATATGAAAGTTTTTGCTTGTTTTATATCAGTTGTTGCAGGTGGAAGATTTGTGTCTCTCCAAATTCTGTTGTAAACTGAACTTTCACTTCTATTCCAGGCTCGTACTCGGACTACCCTGCCAAACAAAACAATGCCATGGCTCCCATGCAGCTGTCACCCATGGCCCTGCACCATCAGCCTCCTCCTCTTCCTCAACACTATGTGAACGGCAGTGTGCATGGCAGCATTCATGGTACTGGACAGGTGTTGGATTACCTGGAGAACCAGGTGAGGGGGATGGATGTGGGGGCACTTCAAATGCCTCAATATGGTGTCCAAAATATGCTCCAATTACAATCCCAGCACCGGCTGCCTTCTCAAGCTGTTCCTTACACACCCGGGCCCCCGAGTATGTTGTCTGCCCTGGATGAGATGGGAGTAAAAGGGGTGGAGAGAAGGGTGATCACCTTGCCTCCTATTATCCAGCGTGTGCCCAGCTTTTTGTCACGCAGCGGGCCTGGAGGTGGAGATGGAGCCAGAGGTGGTCCCAGCCAGTCCAGTGGGAGTTCAAACCGCTCTAGTGGTGGTCTCCACCGCAACAGTCGTGGCTATAGAGACGTCTCTCCCACCAGACGGGGGATCCTGCGTGGTTACAGCGACGAGTCCCATCAGGAGAACAGCCGAGGAAGAGCACCACACAGGGGTTCGAGGAACGAGAGAGAAGGCTCGTCCAGGAGGAGAGGAGGTGGATCCAGGCCGCGTAGTCGTGACGACCTGATGGAGGAGCTGCACAGCAGAGCAGCTCGGAGGGAAAGGAGCTATTCACCTCCTCAGCGTCGCAAAGGATCCTGTAACTCTGATGACGAGGACAACCGAGGAAGAAAAGGAGAGAAAGAGAAGGATTGGTCAGAGAAGCCCCCCAGCTACCGCTCCTTAGAGAACCATACTGGACAAAGTAACGGCTGGAGGGACTACAACCACCTTTCTGTAAGATCCACACACAAATACTGACATACACTCTAATCAAATGGAGAATTATTGTTTTTGTTTTAGAACTTTCAATTCAGTTCAGTGGGGCTTTATTGGCATGGGAAACAGACATTTACATTGCCAAAGCAAGTGTGAAATAAAAACATGTACATATTTTTTTTCGTTGTCTTTATTGCCATATTAGCGGCGTGGCTATAGGGATGGCAGTGTGGGTTGGTCCACCACTGAGATCCAGACTATATATCATATAGTCATATAGTCCTATATATCAACAACTATTGGATGTTTTGCTATTGAGTACATCCAATTGATTTTTTTATGGTTCACAAATGATGAATTGTAATTGTCTTTTTAACGCCACCACAAGGTTCACCTGTTTTTTAAAGAAATGTCTTGACAGCCATTTGATGGATTGCTGTGAAATTTGGTTCAGACATTCATGGCCCCATCAGGACGAATTGTAATCCCTTTGGTTATCCCTTAATCTTTTTTTAATCTAACGCCATCACCAGGTGAAAATCTCAAACTCAATACTTTGCTTTATGATTAAATACCTGCAAAACTAATCACCATCTACCTCAGTTGTACGTTGTGTTTAGTGCTAATGGGTTAATTGTATTATGCTAACACACTAAACAAAGATGGTGAACATTATACTTGCTAAACATTAACGTGTTGTTGTGAGCATGTTTGCATGCTGAAGTTAGCATTTAACTCACAGCACTGCTGTGCCTAAGTACAGCCTCACAGAGCTGCTAGCATAGCTGTAGACAGTCTTGTTTAGTCTTAGGCTACTTTCTTTCATCACTCTGCTGTACTTCTTTGGCTTGTTGGTCTTTTCCTTTGCATGTGTTTACTGAATCATCGTATTTCCCTCTTTAACTAAACCCCATCACTGTCACTTTTCTCTCTTAGGATAGAAGCTCCCCTAGCAGCGCCAGCATAGTGATCTGAAGCATTTCAATATTTTTTGTACATTTTCCTGAATATTTCCAGAACGGCAAAAATGAAGACAAACAGTAGGTACTTCAATCTGTTCAATCACTGCACAAGAATAATAGTTGTTGTTAAATTTAAGTAGTGAGTCCTGAAAATGTTCTGTATCAATCTACTTTTACTCTGCAGGCTATGTATGTAATTGCAACAAAAGAAATCTAATCTAAATTTTATGTAAGTAAAGCTGATAAAAACAGTTAAAGGCTATAAATTGCAGATAATATGCAGTTATATTCTAGTCTCTTGTTATTGAGATAATCAATATTTGTGATTCTTGTTCTGATGTATTCAGTGGTGTTATTTGTACGTGTGATTTTCTTCTGGTGACGGAAAATCCTTCTGTGTCGTGTAGAAAACAAGCAGATACTGTTTGGATACTATAAAATTTTGTGGGGTTTTTAGGTCTATCGTTGTTAACGTGTGTTTTTGCAGAATAATATACACTGTGTTTGTTTATTCCTATATTGTTTTTTACTGTTGCATAATTTGTTGTACAATTTTTTTTTTAAGTATTTTTTTTTATCTGTATCTATAGTAACATTATTAGACAGTGACAGCAATACAAAGTATGCTGCATGGACATTTGTAGAAAGACGGACTTAGTGGAAAGTTTAGAAGCTTATTGTACTGAACATTACCAACATACTGTATAATTGTGATTTTCATTAGTGTTTGCTTTTGTTACAAACAAGAATAGAGATATATTGTGATGAAATGTGTTTTGAATAAACCTTGTAAAGTACAGTGTGAAGTGGGTAATTTATGTATTTGTATGTACAGTATATACACGATCTGATGATCCCACCAAGACAGAAGTGATCCATTAAACTAAAATTAAGTCATTTGATTATTTGCAAGTTTGTTTGGAAATGTACACCAGTAATGTAAAATATCAACTGGGGCCTAAATTATTACGTGATCATGTGGCACTGAAATTAAAAATGTAGTTATAAAATCCTAAGTATTGTAATTATTACATGCTGCATAATCCTAAATAAAGATGTTTTAATAAATTACCATAAACTGATTAGCATAGAGAAAAGCTGGAGCAAAAATAATAAATTAATCCAATTGAACCTATATGGGGAGAAGTATTACACGCTGTGAGTACATAAAATCTGAAGTTATACATTAAGATTTAATATGTTTAGATGTATATTTGTTTTATCAATCAATTATGCTAATTCAGGAGTATATTATAGTAATGACATTGAGCTTGTTTGTTTTGTATGTTTGGTAAATATGTGAGAACTGTAAGTACATGATGTGTGCCAGTTTAACATGTACAGTATTATGCAAAAGTTTTAGGTAGTTTGAGAAAAATGCTATAAAGTAAGAATGGTTTCAAATATAGACATGCTAATAGACTATTTATATATTAACAAAATACAAAGTGAGGAACCAGAAGAAAAGTCTAAATCAAATCAAAATTTGGCATGACCACAGATCATCTCTGGATTTAGGTAGCCTCAGTTGCTTCTCCCTTCATGTATTCCCAGACAGACTCGATGATATTGACATCAGAGCTCTATGGGAGTCATACCATCGCTTCCAAGACTCCTTGTTCTTCTTCACACTATAGTTCCTGATGACTTTGGTTGTATATTTGTGGGGGGAGGGGCAATCCAATACCTCCTTGATGGTATTGCGTGATGAATCATCATGTGCATAGTATTCTCTGCGCAGAGGAGACCAATAATTCTGACCAAACACCCAACTCCATTTGCAACCCCAAACTTTCAAGGAAGCCAAGCTTCATCTGGTCGCTTGGCCTTGTTTCCTTGTCGGGGGTCTGGCTTTTTGGCCACTTTTGACCAGACTTCTTTGGAAAGTAGATGTATGTATCAGGGTCCCACTGTTTTCTGCCAGTTCTGAGCTGATGGCACTGCTGGACATCTTCTGATAGCAAAGGGAAATAAGCATGATGTATCTGTCATCTGCGGCAGTAAATTTCCTTGGACAACAACTACAGTCCTTCACATTGCCCGTTTCTTTGTGCTTCTTCAAAAGAGCTTGGACAGCACATCTGGAAACCCCTTAAAAATCTCTGCCTGGGAGAGACCTTGATACAGTATACAGTGGCTACCTTGTGTCTTGTTGCAGTGCATAGTCTTACCATGTTGTATGACTTTTGACTGCAGCCTCATCTTGTTAGCTAACTGTTCCTCACCCAGTTGTATTCCTCCTACACAGCTGTTTCTGTTTCAGTTAATGATTGTGTTTCAACCTACATATGGAATTGTATATCATTAGCTCCTGTTTGGTATAATTGTTAAATCATACATCTAACGATAAGATTTTAAGATCCCTGACTTTGTGCAAATGAACCTAGAACAATTGCCGCTGTTTTGTTTTGTGGTCACACCAAATACTGATTTTGCATTTTGTTAATTTTGTACATCATGCTAAAACTAATGCAATCTAATGCAACAACCTGTAAAAAATCTACCTTTATGAGGGTTATGTTTAGTTTATGTTGGAATTATTTTACAGAGTTTCATTTCAGAGGCTGTGGTGCTGTTTTATTGTACTGTGTTATACTGAGAGGACTTCTATAAAGTACACTGCTCAAAAAAATAAAGGCAACACTAAAATAACACATCCTAGATCTGAATGAATGAAATAATCTCATTAAATACTCCTTTCTTTACATAGTTGAATGTGCTGACAACAAAAATCACACAAAAGTTATCAATGGAAATCAAATTTATCAACCCATGGAGGTCTGGATTTGGAGTCACACTCAAAATCCAAGTGGAAAATCACACTACAGGCCGATCCAACTTTGATGTAATGTCCTTAAAACAAGTCAAAATGAGGCTCAGTGTGTGTGGCCTCCACGTGCCTGTATGACCTCCCTACAACGCCTGGGCATGCTCCTGATGAAGTGGCGGATGGTCTTCTGAGGGATCTCCTCCCCGACCTGGACTAAAGCATCCGCCAACTCCTGGACAGTCTGTGGTGCAACGTGGCGTTGGTGGATGGAGCGAGACATGATGTCCCAGATGTGCTCAAATGGATTCAGGTCTGGGGAACGGGCGGGCCAGTCCATAGCATCAGTGCTTTCCTCTTGCAGGAACTGCTGACACACTCCAGCCACATGAGGTCTAGCATTGTGTTGCATTAGGAGGAACCCAGGGCCAACCGCACCAGCATATGGTCTCACAAGGGGTCTGAGGATCTCATCTCGGTACCTAATGGCAGTCAGGCTACCTCTGGCGAGCACATGGAGGGCTGTGCGGCCCCCCAAAGAAATGCCACCCCACACCATTACTGACCCGCCGCCAAACCGGTCATGCTGGAGGATGTTGCAGGCAGCAGAACGTTCTCCACGGCGTCTCCAGACTCACATCTGTCACATGTGCTCAGTGTGAACCTGCTTTCATCTGTGAAGAGCACAGGGCGCCAGTGGCGAATTTGCCAATCTTGGTGTTCTCTGGCAAATGGCAAACGTCCTGCACGGTGTTGGGCTGTAAGCACAACCCCCACCTGTGGACATGGGTTGTAGACTCCGTCTCATGCTATCACTAGAGAGAAAGCACTGCCAGCATTCAAAAGTGACCAAAACATCAGCCAGGAAGCATAGGAACTGAGAAGTGGTCTGTGGTCACCACCTGCAGAACCACTCCTTTATTGGGTGTGTCTTGCTAATTGCCTATAATTTCCACCTGTTGTCTATTCCATTTGCACAACAGCATGTGAAATTGATTGTCAATCAGTGTTGCTTCCTAAGTGTAAGACAGTTTGACTTCACAGGAGTGTGATTGACTTGGAATTACATTGTGTTGTTTAAGTGTTCCCTTTATTTTTTTGAGCAGTGTATGTATGAAGAATCGTTGCTGTAGAGCGAGTTGCCCATTAATCAGAAGGTCGGCGGTTCAATCCCCGGCTCCTCCAGGCTGCATGTCAAGACACTGAACCCCAAATTGCCCCTGGTGGCTGTTCCACAAGTGTATGAATGTGTGTGAATGGTGAATGCAGATGTAGTGTAAAAGCGCTTTGAGTGGAAAGGGGCTATACAGAGCATTTACATCTGTAATATGCCTGCTGCCATTTATAGTGTGTGGTGATAAGAGGCAACTAAACAGCAACTTTTTGCCCCAGGGGCTGCAAAACAGCCACAACATGCAATATTCTCTAGTGTGATTCAGCTTTTCTGACACTGGTATGTCCAGCAGGGGGAACCAGAGGCTATATGATCTACACTACAGAATGGTTTGAGTTTATGGTGTTGATGTTAGTGCAGAGATATGTCTGTTTTTTTCTCAGCTTTAGGTTTCATGAAACAGAATGAAGCTATGCAACTTTATCACAACAGCATAATGCCAAGTTATTTTACATTAAAATATATATTCAAAGACAGTTGTGTTGCACATTGAGTGCAGATGTTTAAGTTGATGGAGTCTGTTTACTGAATCAAAGGAGGGAGGAGGAGGGGGGCGGGGCTCCTCCGTGACGAGCTCGTCATGCTGCTATCTGAGTGGCGGAGAAGCTGACCGACCGGAGAAGTAAAACTGCCGATGTCAAAGGATCCTGGATCAGCTGTTAGCTGTCGATCTTCCCCCGACATCCACTGATAACAGCGATCGTCAATCCGTGCATCAGGCAAAGAGGTGCTTCTTGTTGTTAGGATTAAAGTCAGACGCACAGCGGCTTCTCGTCGTTTTCAGGTAAAACTCACGGAATATTAGCCGCCCGCTAACTAGCATTAGCAGCTGCGCAGATTCTTCCATAAAGAAATCTCAAATTATCATAAAAGAAGCGGGCAGCTAAGAAGCTAGCTCAGCGGATGCAGCCGCACACAGCAGGGTATTCAAATGAACATAACAAATCAACATATCGGCTGGGGTTTAGTCTCCATCACTGAATCATTTCTAACTATCATCACATCATATGTTTTGTATTCGCACTAAAATGAATGGCTGCTATGGCCGCAGCACCAGTTGTTTATCACTGTGACCAAGTGATTCAGTCTACAGTGTGTAAAGCTAATGGGTCAGATCAGATTCTCACAGGTTGATTACAGGAGGACAGACACGCTGAACTAGTTTTAATGAGACTCAGCGTTATGGGTTGTGTTTTGCTAACCGGTTTTCTGCAGACAGCATGAACTCCCTCCCTGGAAGGGCCGCACTGTCTCTGTGCAGGCGCACAGCAGCGGGCGGGATGCGGGTCTTCGCAGCGGGCCACCCTGCTGTTGGAATTCCGGCCTCTTTTCAGGCTGTGCGGGTTTGCCACTCCGGCACGACCCGCAAAGGCAGCGTCAGCACCAAGAAGCGGGGCTACGACATCACCAGAAACCCACACCTCAACAAGGTGAGCTCACTGATGTTTCTGGTAACGTTACCGTTTCCTGGCAACATCCATCATTTGCATGCAGAAAATATATTCTACATGGACATGATAACAAAAGGTCTTCCTCAGGTAAATCTGTGGATGGGAGCTCACCTGTGCCTATAATGTACATGTGAGGACGTTGTGCTGGGCTGTATTCATATGAACATAGCACTGTAGAATATATATTTATAATTGTCTTATTGTACGCATTTTAAGGCAAAACAGAATCTATATTTTAGAAGCTGCAACAATAAGTTTTGGTATTGTAACTTAAAAAAATACTTGATTAATTAAAATAAATAAATTAAAGAGGTGGTATTATGCTTTTTGGCTTTTCCCCTCTCCTTTATTGAGTTATATCTCTTTTTGTGCATGTAATAGGTTTGCAAAGTGAAAAAGCCCAAAGTCCAGCCCAAAGGGAGTTCCTATCTCCCACAGAAAGCTCTGCTGTGAACTGCCTGAAAACAGCTCCTTTGTAGTCCAGCTGTTTCCCTTCCTTCACTGT